ACATTTTTAGTTAAAAGTTTATTTTTTTCGCATTTGATAGACGTTGATATTTACGTGTATACATACAACGTAGTTAAATGAAAAATATAAATAATGTAGGTAGGCGTGCACATTATATACACCTATATTACTATTATTATTATTACTTGACGAACGACCGCTACATTATTATTTATTTATTTATTTATTTATTTATACAATCGCCGTTATATAGGTTAGGTAGAGTGACGATATGTAAAAAGAAATTGCAGTAAATTTACCGGAACATCATCGGTAAAATATAGCTTTAACTTGGTACAGCAAATGATACCTTAATATGTATATATATACATACACCTACCTAGTTACTATTTTCTTGAAGTAAAACAGAACAAGGTGATTTATTGTATCGAATTATAATCGCAAATAATAATAATTAATAGCTACTCGAGTACAATAGTAATTAGTAATATAATTAGTAGTCAAAATATTGAACCTCACTGAAAAAATTCAAGATTTTCAGTAAACCATAAAAAGCTACATCGGTATATGCGGTTGGGTTAGGTGATTGTTATATAGCGACAGTTGTCAAAAATGGATAGCATGTTTATTAAATCACGATCAATTATACAACCAATCCAAGGGGGCCACCGATAATTTTGAGTGGTAGAAAAAAATTAACCGACGAAAAATTTGGTAAACTTCTTTCTTGACGTTAAAAAATTTTACTTTGTAAATTTACCGAGCACTCACCGCTCTATAGTATATTATACATTTACTATTATAGCTATAATTTATAGGTTTATTACTATCGTTAATTCATGGGACGACGTCAGAGAAAATGTAAATTTACACGTTGAATATAATATTGGTAATAATCATAATAAACACCCACCGCGGCATTATAATGAACCCACATAATAATAATACAACACGCGAATAGAACAGACGACGGGCGCCGTTCGCCCGAATTATAATAATAACCGTTGAGTTAATTTCGTCTTGTGTTTAAAAATCACAATCTAATCGATAACATAACTATATATAGTGGGTCTGCCTCTATGTATAATATATAGATTATATAGAATTGGGTCGCCGCTGCATAGAAGTGTTGGTAAAATTTTTTTTGCAAGTCTGTACAAACCGTCAGCTATTCGTACAAAATCGTGAGCAATTTATGTACGCATAGACCTGGATTGTATATTACATGCATGGCGTGACGACCGTTGTTTCAGAAATTACGCACCCCCCCCCCCCATATATGAAATAAAATATATAGGCCCGAGAGGGTGATGTATTTTACATAATAACATTATATAGAAGCTCTGTAGTAACGCGATAGCAATACAATAATATTTTAGTATTGGCGATAGAAAGTGATAAGCTCTAACGGGCACACTGTTAGGTCCGCAGGTCTAAAATGAATCCAAGAAACCATCAGAAACCTGCAGGCGTCCGCTATGTTTCATAGAAATTCCTACTAAAAGTAGGCGCGTCAACAAGGGGGGGGAAAGGGGAATTCGCGTAACAAATTTTTATGTATAAAATTACTCTTATTGCCAACAAAATAATAATGATCAACATTTTAATTTATAGTTTCGCCCTCTCCCTTGACAACTTTCTAGGGACACCCCTGACTCAAGGTACCCACTTATCAGAACCTTCGGCCACAAACCTAGCGAAATACGACGTTCAAATCAAAAGCACAGTCCGCTATAATGGGCATCAATTTAACCAGTAATATAACAATCGTAGAAAAAAAGAAACTTAGAGCCACTGATGTAGGCAAACGCCTGGCACAGTCAAAATGCCCACACAAAGCAAAGCAGGGCACACTGTGTATCATTTGTTTGTTATTTATCCACGTTGCAGACCACTCCCTGCAGGCCTAAAATTCGATAAGCCTTCTACCACCAATATTATTATAATTATTGTTTTCATCATCATAATATTATGGGTATATTATATTGGTATAAATTTTATACAGGTAACAGGTAACTACTTACTTTACATATTTAGGATATATTACTAAACCATAATACTTTACTTACTTAGGTACTTACTTACTAACTGTCTATCCAGTCCGTGTACAAGAAGACAATATTGAATATCATAATACACAATACAATATCGTTATTATTATAAACAATATGTCGACATTGCATACGTTTGTGATAAAATTGGCAAACACAATAAATATTATAATATTATGTGCCGTAGCTGCATTGTCTACCGTCGGCAGTGAGCAACATCAGCTTGTGCGCGCGAATGAGCAACCATCTCCGCGGAAAAGTTTTTATAAAAATAATCAGAAAAAAAGAACTGAACAGCACCTGTACTAAAATTAGAGTTCTCGTCTACCCGACATTGAAATCTACTGTTGGATACTGTGGGAGCGGACCTACTTACAATACATAATAATATTATAATTAAATAAAGGTAATGTGTACAATATGACGTATACACACTATTATGGGCTTCGGAGTTCGGAGTATTACAATAATATAATATGTTATTTAATATACGTAAATCGTTTTATACGCGTTGTAGTAATAGTATAGGTACACCTAAAAATACGTGTAGATGTGTGTGTGTGTAAACACATTAGAAATCGAATAATCCATTGTTCTAAATTGATTTATTATAAAAATAGACTTGGTGCCTAAATCGAGGCGTAGTACACAGACAAGTATTTTATACAGGGTGATTCTCGTAACGTAATTTAGTATACTATTTTCATTATTTCTGAACTTTATTTATTTATTTTTTGAGAATAACCCCGCATTTTATAATGTACACCTGACCCCGTAAGGTTAAACTTCAATCAATGATAAGTAGTCATAACAAATATTAAACACACTATACTATACCCGTTTGAAATCCGATTTTTAAGTATCTTCTATTCGGCTTCAAAATTTGAAATTATAAATGTATGAGCTGTTTTTAAAAAGAGGTTGTTTGTGTAATCACGTGTTCTGAATGCTCTGCGATTGTTCGTGTGGAGTGGTGTTGTTTACTCCCGTAGTCCTGTTGCATGCTGATGGTCGATGACGTAGTGGTTCGTCGGCGGGTCTTAAACTATTTTAAACAATTTTTGTTTCGTTTGAACTTGACTCTACACCTGTCACTAAAATTTGAATAATATGTAGTACGCCGTGCGTACTCGTACTTGCGATTATTTTACAGCGTAGCACGTTTTGGCCGTCAGGATTCAGGCCAGGAGTACGGTTAATTAACGACGATCGACACAATTTGTTTATTCAATTACACAATATAATATAATGTAAGTTTTAAACATGTCTTGTCTCCGTCTTACTAAAGCATAATATGGCAATTTTTCATTGGGGATAATCCGTTTTATTATGTTATTTTTAATAAATTTAAAGATATAAGAATATTATTCAGGGCAACTCGAAAGATTTGTTTTTTTCGATATCTTATTTTTAAAACAATGGCGATGATCATTTCATAATTTGTAAATTTGAAATATGATGATATTATGTCAATTCACTCTAATATTAAAAATGACAGGTGAAAAATAATGTGTTCATTTAATTTTCCAGGAATGTGTTAGTAAGATGGAGACAACACATAAGGGTATAACGTTCTCTTCAAATAAAATTTATATATATTTATATTATAATAAAAATGTGTAACAAATTCAAAGACAGAATAAGTAAATTATTCTGCTCGAGACTAGTTTAACTAGAATAGTATAACATGGGAATGGACTGATGTAAGAGGTGGCGATGTGTCTGTGACATAGTCCACGACTTAAACATAAATCCTACAAGTGGGATGCTAGACAAGGCCAGCAGCTATAGCTATTGGCGTGATCATAGATTTAGGATTTACTTGATTAAAGGAGGACCGTTCGTATACAAAAATAAAGATGCCGATTATAGCAAGTAATCTAAATTGTGTTTCATAAACATAAATTATACTTATCTCACACTAGCTTGCAAATTCATAATCTGGGTTCACTGCATAACAGTGTCTATACTTGTAATCAAATACATTATTTACTACAACATAACAACCTGCAGATACATCAAGACGCATGTAAGTTTAATACAAAGTTAAAAAAAAATAGAGTCAATATACAGTTTTTTCAAAAATGTTGTAGTGTAATAACTTTAAATTGGTATGTAAAAAAAATATTTTTTTAAATATTGAGTGTCTTACGTTATAAGGACCATTATATATTTGGTGTATATATAGGTAAATCCAGGCGTGCTTTGACAGACAGGTTATGGTATACAGGTATGGCTTCGTCGGAAACGTTATCGATTTTATTTTCTATAAACAGTAGCAAAAAATTATATTCTCAAAGCAAGAACACAATAAATTCATGACCGTTAACGTTTCACAGACGTATCGTAATAATTCATAATCACGAATTTAGCTATTCTAATGATGAGATTGTACAAAACACATTCTGTAAATGCAATCATTTACATTGGTGAAAATGACACTGATTACCACTTCCTATTAAATTGGTAGGTAGGTTTAAAAAAAAATTGGTTAACGGACTATGAATAGTAACAGTAGGTAGGTATAGTAAACATTAAGCCGTTCAGAAAAATATTGGCGATTATTTATTGGTATAAGGATCGGCGGGAGAATGAAAATAAAATAATAGTTGATGGAAGCTACAAACAAAAAGCATAACAAAATACGAAATATACACACTGTAGTAGACGAAGCGAGTCGTAAAAAATAGGTCACTACAACTATTGGAAGTGTTCGTTATCAGAAAAATGGATCTCGTGAGGATAACTCGTAAAAAGCTTTGGCACACCAACCAGTCAAAGTATAAATAATATTGTTTTTATTATTTAAAAAGACAAAAAAAAAAAAACAATAATAATAATGATAATGTACAGAGTAACAACAAAACAGCTTTAAAGTTTTGTAATACCTTTGAACAAAATAGCAATGAAAAGCGACAATAAATACATTTATATATATATATATATTGTATGCATAACAAAATGAGACGAGTTACATATTATATATAATATACCATTGTGTTATGACTGCTTCGGTGAGCGGGTCATTTTTTGTTAAATTAATTGTAATATTTGAGTTTCATTAGGCACTCCGAGATTTGGTGTGATTTCTTTCCTTTGTATCATAATAATAATAATAATAATAATAATTGTATATATCAATACATATACACCGTACATATATATATATATGAATATGTTTATATATATAATATTATAATTTAATTTGTTTTTTTTTTAATATAATATATCATAATTTTTAAGGCACGAGTTAACGGGTAGTAGGTTAGTACCATTTTAAACATCGGCTAAGCTTTTTCAGTGCAATTGCTGTGCCGAATATGTGGTCCCAAAATTGGCTGCTGATACCGAAACCTGAAACACATGGATAACGAGGCCCGTCTATAATATTGTTATATCTAGGAACAAAAATAATATAGACTGTAGAGGGGGTAAAATGTACATGCACATTATGTAATATATACACAGGGTGTATCACTATCACATCATTTGATTCGTTCATATGTAACTTATAAATGTAAAACTGTCAACTCCTTCTGGTACACTTTGTGTATTATGCATACACAAATAATGGGCAAAATATATTTTATGGTCGAAATGATTGGGGGCCAACGGATACCATTTCACTACATTTTTCTTTCTTTTTTTTACATTATGCACCCGTCTATTTTATAAAAATAACGAATCATCCATGTCTGACAAATTGTAATTTATCTTAAACTATAATAACATTACCACACTATGATTCTCATGAAAACAACGCCACAAAATATTTTTCAAACCCAGGTATTATACCAATCTAGTTCTCCCAAACAAAAAATATTCACCTATAAATATATTTTTTAAAGAGGATATACATAGCAGGCAGAGTATTTATGAAATATTAAAGTCCTCTCCCTTACAGAGTTTCTTAAATTCTTGTATAAATTATAATATTATACTGCGCAAACGTAGGAGGTGACTATATACATATAAAATGTACATTTTATGAATATTTTACATTTTTATAGAATATTGAGTATGTTGTTATCATATATTGTAATTGTATACTGACCGCTCTCGTGGTGCGCGAAATGATGTTGGTTGTGGTATCTTTTCATTGTGTACAGGTACGAGCCTTCCCTGGGACATCCGTAGTGTAAGTAGAAATGTATTAAATCATAAGTTACATAGCCTGCGAACACGATTGTACAAGATTAATGTCTGTTTTTATAACGATATCACTATAATAATTTAAGGTTCAAGTTGAAGCACTATAATTATATTACCTACAATAGGACAATCGATTTATAGCGTCGTCCGAACTTCTTTATTTTTTAAAACGAAAACAGAATATTACCTATAAGTTAGACGGGTCATTTCATTATCACCGAAGTGAACAGTTATGGTGTGGATAATAAATAGTACCTAATAACCTCCTAATTCCTAATACCTATTACCAACTTTACACTTAAATTGCATTCAGTGGTGCATTTATTTAGACATTTATAGAACAGGTCAACGTGTTCCTAGAACGCCCGCTCCTTACATTCTACCATTGATTATAAATACTATCTACCGATCATATTACACAGCACAAATATTTGAAAACTTTTTTCTGAGGGCAACAAAGATAAATTGGGTAGGTAGTGAAATAATAATTTCGAAGTAATGATTTTATATGTTTTGCTTTCCCTTGTCTGGTGTGAATTCACATACATTTAATACTGTGATAAGCAAAGGTATATAAACTTAAATACATTTATTATGGCTAATGTAGCCTTGTACTCCTATTGGCTGTATTATATATGTGAATTAATTCGTAATGCGTTTGAAGGGCTGAAAATGACCTCTCAGTTGAAGTGTTGAACAGTCGTCAGTTTGTTATTGGAGTTCATAGGTACCAGGTCAGGTACGTAAGATACTCATTATTTCGATAACTATTATCGTTTTTGAAATAATGAGTGTTCTTCGATTAAATAATCACTAGGTATTGCGTAGCATTCTTAAAAAAATATCGAAGTACTGATATCATTGAGGTGATATGTTCTTATAAATTCTTGTTGATACTTCTATTTGTTAGGTTAACATAACCTAAGACGCTGGCGCCTCTCTTAAATGCATTAAGGCTTATAAGCATTTAAATTTTATAAATATTAGTAAGTCAGTGAGGCTTTATAGCTTAAAATACTAAATTATTGACTAAATGATGGTATATTTTATCATTTCGCACACTTACCCGCAATCATGCCGGCCAATACCAGAGGCGCCATCCAATGAGGAAACAGCATCAGGTATATGGCGTAAGCAGCCGATATAAGTACTGCTGCCGGCCCAGGCGGAAACAACAACCGTCTGTCGTCGAATGGCACCTGTTTGCAGAACACGACAAAACACAATTAATAAACAATAATTTAATATAGTATAAAAGTGTACAATTTGGATTTGAAAATCTCAAAATCTCTGATTAAAATCTCAGATCAAAATCGCGATAACAATTTAAAGATGTGTCGGTACACGTCTGTAGAGGTTGGATTTCCACTAATAGCCCAATTTATTATAATGACCAAACCAATTCAGGCCTGAACAATAATTTTCTATAAGATATTTTAGTTGTTTTTGGCACTTCCATTGATTTCGTTCTAAATCCACCACAGGATACACCGCGAGTACAAGGAGTTCCTTTATTCTCGTATTCAATGCGAGCCATTGGTGACTATAATTATGCAATATAGTAATATAAATATTGCACCAAAGCGACTGCGGTTACGTGTGAAACGATGTTTTTTCAACACTTTAAAGTTTAAATTAATGGTTAGCCGGACACCGTATAGTGACAAGTGAAAAGGGCTAGATTAAATTTGAATATTCGAGGAATCGAATTAGCTGTTAAGGGTTATAGGTAGATTTTTCACATGCTATACATAAACTTAATCAAGTCGTTAACCTTTTTAGACCAATATTTTTTTTGTGAAACTTTTTTGACTGTAAGACAACAATGGGTACAATAGGCTTCAACTTTCAAATACCATATGGAATTCATGATTATTTGCGAATAAAAAATAATATGTGCATAACACTGAATAACACGTGTGTAATTATTATTTTCCAAATAAATATTTTGCTAAAAACGTGTTGAACCATAAGAAATGATTAAAACAAATACAATTCGTAAATATTATTACATTATATTATGTATAGTAGCCTGTGAATAAAAATATGTGGAACAGTACCACTTAATAATAATTTATACCGAAATATATAAATTTGTAAAAAAAAATACACAGTTTATGGTGATTTTGGTTGGTGTGTGAGATGCGACACGCACGGTTTAATGTAATGGGAATATTTTTATTGCATTATTATTTAATGCTCGAACGCGATTGATCATCATATTTTAAAGACGTCTCTGATCGGAAATATGTTTATTATGGATCTATAAAACTAAGTTTAAGTTTTTACATTTTGCTAGTAATTTTTTCTACATTTAACGTACTATATGATATATGATATAATAATAGGAAGGTACATAATATATAATAAAATAGTTACACAGTCAATTTTTGATGAGTTAGAATATAATAGAGAACAAACATTTGTTTCTATAGAAGATTCAAATGTTCAAATGCGAAAATAAATAGGTAATATTTTAGCGTTAATTCCGTTCCTCTTTCGCCTTAAAATCTGATAAGTGATAATTATTTACCAAAAAAAATTAAGGTTAAATCGTCATAGTTTTCATATAATTCGTCTAATACACATTTCTTTCTACCACATAAATTAATTAAGACGAAAAACAGAAATATCTAGTTAAAATTGTATTACATATAAATAAATATAGGTAATTAGGTTTGGTGTTTGGTTAATATTATGTGTATAAAGTACATATATATGCAGTATAATATGTATGTAGTAAGTAATTCCAAACAACATAAAAAAAATTGTAAATAAGCAAATAACTGCGTATGAGGTATATGTAGAAAAAACACGAGCAGGGCATTATTATTTGAATATAATGTTATCTAAATAATCATCTAAATAACATTTTATTCAAATGCATTTTTTTTTTTTTTACAATTAGGTATACCTATTAAGACTAAAAATGTGCACATATATCGTTGCAGGACAATGGACATGTATTGTATAATTTATATCGTTATAATAGTCGGAATATAATATAATATTAATGACGCTTCAGGTATATATGCGTGACTTATCCAATAAAACAAGGGTCGGTCACTTTGAAGTCTGATGCATATATACCTTTGTATGGATTTACAAATATACATTTCCTACATGGAACTGCTATCAGTCAGCCGAAAGTTTTAACAATACATTTGACGTAAAAACGTATGTAATTTCTTCAAGTCTTACTAATGGAAGGCCGCCCCGTCGGGGCGTTTCGCAGCGAATTTCCTGGCCGTTTAAATTATTAAAAAAACCAAGCGTGAGTGATTTATGTATTATTAGCTAATAATTATTTAGCAACTACTTAATATAATATGTGACCTACATATTTAACAGCCAAGTGAACACAGAGACGGCACGTGTATAGGGCCGCTAGCGTATATTTCATACTATATTATAGCAAATATAATTTATTAAAAGTACCTTTTAAACGTGTTTGGATAGACGACTCATACGGAACGATGCGCTTATGGATTAACAATTTTAGGACTAAAACTAAACACATTATAATATATATAACCTGCATCATTGTTTAGTTGTATTATATTATTTTTGTTATGCACACTGTTATTTGGAACACGTACCTATCTATTTTGTTTAATATATTCGTATTATATATTTCAGTAACATCAGTTATTTTGTAAGATTTAAAAAAAATTTAAAAAACAGGTAAAGTCAGCCAATCTGCTGTATGGTAGGTTTATAATGTAACATTTTGAGTAGGTCACTGCAATGAATAGGTTCAATTGTAAATAGTAATACAACGATAAATCATTGCTTACAGAAAGAGACGAGTGGATAAGCATCTATTTCTAAAGATAACACGTGATGTTATACTGTATTTATATAATTAATAGTATTTGATCAATTTGGTAGGTTGGACTATTTTTACTAAGCTTATCGCATATATAAGTCAATGGCAATGTAGAATAGTGTGAGTAGGTTCGTGGTATATGTTGGTAAAATGAAAAAAAAACTCTTCGTAAAGGTCATTAAGCGATTGGCGAGTATTTTTTGTATGTACTGTGTATAGACATACCCTATGTAGGCCATTCCGATTTCACAGCTGAGTATTCGTCAATAATATCGGATTTTTTTTCGATAATGTCATCAGAATAGTGCAAATCATATTCTTATTCTGTACGGCAATGTCTACCAAAATTCAATATTAAGATCACCAACATATTCACGTGAAATATCGTACGAGGCCCGGCAAGAGATCGGGTTAATATGAATCTCTGGATTGATTGATATTCCTCTGTGAATGTCATTAACGATGATCATCGGTTGTTGACAAGAAGCGTAATGTTAGACTGCGCCGCGAAGGTATCGACACGGTGTCTTTACAGGAGACGCTTTCGATATTTTTTAAATTAATTTACATTGAAAAAACGAAGGAGACACCCCCACTCATTAATCATTTATTAAACTACGACAATCACCTGGTTGCATAAAATAAAACAGGAGTCACTGCACCACTTTTAATTTCCCAAATGTTATATACACAGCTCGATAATTTAAGTGTAAAATAATTTCCTGCAAGCGCGCAGCGGAATGTTGCACCGCACGAAGCACGCGAAATGTATGATAATAATAACAATATTGTTAGTCAGTCAACTTTGGATGAGTTGGAACGATCATAGACCAAATAGATTATAGAACTTCGGTGATCGCTGAAACAGGTGTTTTTTGTGAGTCGATTGAGAGCATACTGTAATTTTGTGCAAAAAACTTGCCAGCTAAATGTCTACAACTCGTAGGTAGATATAACAATACACATAATGACCCAGTTTTTCCTAAGTCGTAATATTAAATTGATTTTTATTAGCAATCGATGATATTGGTACTATAAGTCCATAAATGTCATTATTATATACGACTTTAACATGACAACGAAACATTAAGTTTAAATACAACTCCATTATCACGTATACAACAATAATGCATATTTACGACTACATGCACGTGTCGTCGCCGCCATATTTACTCCCACTTTGTTGCAATTTTTTTGTTTGCAAACCGGGTACTTGCTTTTTACAATTTCCAATTGTAAAATGACGGTGACATGACGTCAATATAGATAAAGCACCGACTATGCCGAAGGCCCTTATCATGATCGGCTTACTATCATCAATTGACGCAGATATGTGCTTAATGACGATATATATTTTTGATATGTTAAATGTTATTTAAAAAAAAAAATATAAAAAAAAAAACTGATAATGTCAAAAACTGATGTTTTTTGAATACTCCTTTTTCCCCACTGTTTAAAAAAAGTAGGAACTGATAATTAAAAGTACAAATAGTATCAACTTGACCAAATTTGGTTCCCTCAAAGTTGAAGATTCAAATGTTTTGCTCCAAAACGTAAAACAAAAAAAAATACATAAAATTACTGTAGGTATAATAAAACCAATAAATTCCTCGCTATGTGTTTGATATGTAAAATAAGACTTGAAAACAAAAGAGTTAGTCTAGACGACAGTGTATTGTAATTCGAATATAATTTTGCACGTAGCACGTAGGAATGTGATAGATACTTATGTACTGAATGTAAAATTTAATATTTTGAAATTATTGACAAGATATGAACAAGTGAACAAAATACAGGAGTTATTGTTTTGTCAGTCTAACAACAGTAATCAGAATATCAGTTTTGTAAACATGACTGATATATTGTAATATAATATGAGATCCATGTTTAGATAGAGATACGAGCAAGGCCGTAGAAGGGGGGGGACATCCCCCCCCCCCCCGAATTTTTTTTTTAAATAAGATTTCATTATGTTTTAAATAAAGATTAATTTAATTTAAATAATGTTTTTATATTTTCATATTTTATTATATAATATAACATATTTATACTCCACCCCCCCCCCCCCATAAATATTTTTCTGGCTACGGTCTCGTCATAAGTGATAGTGTACGACGATTGATGGTTTTCCAAACACCATTCAAGTAATTTATATAAAAAAGATTGCGGATATTAACTTTTAGTGAAAATTTCATGTCTCTATGACATTTTTTTTTAGAGTTGCATAAAAAACCAAAATTGACTTTGTTGAACACCGAGTTTCCGTAAAAATGTTAGTTTTTTCTTAATTTTTTTGTTTATTTTTCCTGCTGTTTTTGAAAACCATTGGATATCTTTTACTTTTGACTTCACAAAGATGCTGTTGAAGAA